AGACAGGTTCGGGTCCTCGACACACAATATCAATTATCTGGAATTACTCTACCCTTCGGCAAGGTAAGTAGCCCCAGGTATGTTTTTATTTGCTTTAGCATGCATCATCTTATTTTGCATCATAAAAATGGGACTCCGGTCTCGCCAAAAATAACATTCATTGAGCATGCATGGGCCAAATTTAGGTGTCATTTTATCTTTGAACGTAACCTCTGCGAGCTCAATCTCTGCGAGCTCACCTTCAAAGAGGGGCAGCTGTTGACACCTATTTTTAATTTGCCCAAAATTAACTACGCAAAATTTAGGAGTTAATTTCGTTAATTCCTAAAACAAAAAAATATTTCAATTTAAATACATTGCATATAGACATTAGGCATATGTGCATTAATAGGGCCTATTAGAGCATATTTTCTTAAATTTTAAACAAAAATTTAAAAAAAAAAAAAAAAACACCAAAAAAAAAAAAAATCGAGTCGGGCCGGGTTGGAGCTGGGCCGACCCGGCCCATTTCTTTTTTCCTTTTTTCCTTTTTTCCCCCGGGCCCCGGCCCTTTTTCTTTTCTTTTTTCCCTTCGCGCGGGCCCGGCCCGCTTTCCTTTCCTTCTTCTTTCCCCACGCCGCGCGGGCCCGGGCCCCGCCTGCCCTTCTTCCTTCCTTCCTTCCCCGCGCCGGCCGCTCTCTCCTCCCTCGTTCTCCCGCGTGCGCGACCGGGCGTGACGCACGGCGGCGCCGCTCCTTATCGTCGTCATCCGGCCGAGGAGGCCCAAAGGGCACGCCATGTGGACCGGCCATTAAGGCCGATCCCGTCTTCCTCATCTCCTGTGCTCTCTCTCCCTCTCTCGCACCTTCACCGAACCGGCCCCCTTTTGCTCGCTTCCGCACCGGCCGCAAATGGCCACGAAAGTCGTGGCGTGGCGTAGGCCGGTGCAGGCCGAGGTCACGCCGACGCAGAGAGGCAGAGAGACACGTCGATGCCGCCTTAAGGTCAGAGAGAGAGAGAGGCCCCCGGTCGGCCGAATTAGGAGAGAAACGGAGAGAGAGTCCGAGAGAGGCCGGAGAGAATCGGAGAGAAACCGAGAAGCCTCGGAGGGTCTTGCAGGTCCCAGCCGGCCTCGTCGTCACCAAGCAAGCCGACCGGCAATCCCCGGAAGCAGCCCCGGTCGGCCGTTTTACAAAAAAAAAACAGAACAGAGAGATCGGGGGAGAGAAAGAGAGGATTGGAGAAAATTTTTTGTGATCTTTGGTTTGTAGGTGGAAGAATACAGCCGCAGGGGTTCCTCAAACGAGCCAGAGTCGCCGACGATCCACCGAACCGACGTCGCCGGCTGGTTGGTCATTCTCGGCCAAAAACAGAGCACCGGAAGAGAGGGAGAGACAGAGAGAGAAATCAGAGAGAAAGAAGGCATACCGAGGTTCCGCCGGAGCAAAAGAAGAACCAGCAGCGTCGCCGTCGTCCCCCAATCAGTCGGAAACCTCCCAGACGCGCCGTCGACCGGTGAGTCGTCCCCCGGCCCGAACTGCTCTGTTCTCCCCTGTTTTTGCTCCCGGTTTGGCCGGGACCCGCGCCGGCCGTTTCGCGCGAGTCCCGGCCCATACCGCCGTCCCCCGCCGTCCGTGCATCATCGTTAAAGGTAAGAACAGGTTTTCCGAGGACGGCGGGGCCTCGAAACAGGTCGGAATCTCCTGTTTTTGGTCGCGCACGCCCGGTGTTCGACAAAATGCCTCAAAGAGGCCGGTTTTTAATTCGGTCGCCGGCCGGCGAGCGGCGGTCAAACGGCGACCCAGGTGGACGGCGAGGCTTGGCGGTGTTCCTAGAAGCCGATTTGGGGGATCGGCCGGGTCGGTCCGGCGGACGGCCAATTTTGGCCTCTCCGGCGCCCCTCCCCGCGGTCAGTGTGTTCGGGTCGGATTCGACCCGAATCAACAGATCCGACCCGGGTCAACGACCGGGTCGGATCCGTTGACTCGGGTCGGTTCCGAACGACCCGGGTCAACGCCCGGGTCGGATCCGTTGACCCGGGTCGGTTCCGACCCGATCCGGATTGACCGATCCGACCCGGGTCAACGCCCGGGTCGGATCCGTTGACCCGGGTCGGTTCCAACCCGGCCCGGATCCGCAACCCGACCCGGTTTAATATTATATTAATATTTTTATTTTATTTTATTTTATTTTTAAAAAAAAAAGAAAATTTTAAAAAAAATAAATTTTTTTTTCTCTTCTGTACTATTATTTATATATGTATATATATATATATATTTTTTTTTTCTCGAAAAAAAAAGAAATTTCTTTTAAAAAAAAAAAAAAGTTTTTTTTAAATTATGTTATATCTAAGTGTTTTAATTTATTGTTGTATTATTATGCATGTTATTGTCTTGTTTAAATTAGACAATTCTGAGGTTGTGCGGTAGTATTTTGCATGTTAATTTTATTACTGTTATGCATGTTTTTAATACAATTCCATGAGCTGTTGTGTTTTTGAATGTCATCTGACTTAGTTAAGGTTAGAACCTTAGGCTGCATGAATTGTTGTGTTCCTGACTGCTAATCGTTTCTGATTATGCACTCGTTTGATCACCTCACATGTTAGGAGAAAGGTCCTAAAATCAATCCAAATTGCCTGACAAATGTTTTCAGAAATGAACAGGGTAAAATGGTACCGAAAGGGCATTAGTTATCCAACTAGTGTAACCAAGTCCCCGAACTCATTTAATCTCTGGTTCGTAGGAATAGGGTGATTCTCCCATCACCCTATTTGGGTTTCTAATCGACCCACCCCAAATCGATTAGTGGCGACTCCTTGATATAAACCACTTGCATGTTAAACACTTAAACCCTAAGTCGCGATATGGTATGGGCTTGGGAGAGCCCGAGTTAAGTCCCGAACCTAGACTTAGCACGTACCAGGCGAGCCCCCCTTTTTTGCATGTTGTTTAAAAAGGGCTCGGGAGTTCGGTCGCGACACAAGTGTAGGGCTAGCTAAAGGGCCAACTCAAGGCCCAACTAAAGGAGATGTTGTAAGGCCAGGTGCAGGGCCAGCTTAAGGCCTATCTGAAGGGCCTGCTATAGCCCCAAGTGTAGGGCCAATCCCTGAGTCCACTGTTGCACAGATAAAGAGAAAATATCTAGTAAGTTGTGCAATTTGTGTTTGTGTTGTTTTGTGGGCTAATCTTGGCAAAGTTTAACTTTGTTATGTCTTTCTCAAGTGAAAATATCTAGTAAGTTGCTCAAGTTATTGAAAGTGGGGCACCATATCGAACAAGTGGGGCTCTTGGCAAAAGAATAAGACAATGGCCTTTATACAAACTTCAATATTAAAATGACTATTTTGAATGTAAGTTTTGTAGGTCTTGTGCATTTAATTTATGGTATTTGACATTGTTAACAATATGATTATGTTATTGTAGCCTGAGAGAAGTTCGGAAGTGCTCATCTCTCAAGATGACTGAAGTCAAGAGTCAACAGTTGCACCCAAAAGAAGAACCCAACCAAGGTCAAGTGGAGCACAATCTAGTAAGAATCAATCAAATGATGCTCCAAAACAGGCAACACAAGCGGCAGGTCCAAAGACAAGAGGGGTGGCTCCAAATAAGAGTGCTCCAAAATAGATGACATCGGGTGTAGCTCCAAAACAGCCTTGACAAAGAACCCATCACCAGGTTCATCTCAACCAAATGATGCTGGCAACTCCAAAACAACCACCAACTTCATTACCACAAAGTCAATATCATTTACGGAGCACTCTCATCAACCGTGTTCGAGTATATGAACGAAGATAGGACGTGAATGATGCCTTGTTCTTCTTGATAAGTCGCCAGAGTGATCTCCAGAACGTCCAAGCCCACATTAGCCAGGAAGTGGCCCTCAAAGTCGCATTCAATCTCAAACCATTTGTTGAGATAACAGTTTCTCCGATTCCAAAGGCGAAAGCAATTGCAACGCTTCTGCAGTATTGGGAGCAACCAGGCTTTGTTAGAGATGCCGTGGCTTGTGCCGATGCGTTGTGTAGTTGGGATGCCAGCAAGGGAATAGAGTGGAAAAGCAAATGGACCACCATTGCTAGAGGCACACACGAGTTAATTCTCCAGCACCATCATGTAGAAAGAAGGAACTCCATATAATACTTGCACAGTTATGAGCTCGAAGATGGGAGTCGGGCGGCAGGCGACAAAGTTACATTATGAGGTTGGGCTAATCAAATGGTTGTTTAACTTTCGCAGCTTGAGCCAAATGTTTCTTGCTGGACTGATGGAAGATTCACAAAGGAATTGCAAGTTGTGGCCGGACGCTGTAGAGTTTCCAGTAGCTGTTCTTCAATATATTATAAACTTCATGCTCCACTACAAGAGGAAGAGACTTGAATGGATGACTTCCATCGGGCAAGATATAAAATCACCGATATTCAAACTACTTAATTCTTTTCTAAAGAAATTTGAGAAAGTTCTAAGTAGATGAAGACTGTCGTTCTGTTAATGTATTTTATCTACTTAATGATGACAAAAAGAAAAAGGCTGAAGTGTTGGAAGAGTCAGAAGGAGAAGCCCATGAACTTCCATTTCAGATTCAATCTACTGTGTTATCGAAAACACCATGAATAACCCAGTGACAATGGCAATTGACCCCAAATTCTACCTTAAGAAGCTAGGGATAGAGTGCCATATCAGAGGGGAAAAACAAAAGACATGAGAAAACAGAAGTCCCGCAAGAAGGCAAATGCTAGGAATCAATTCTTAAAAATTTTAATTGACAAGAGGGAGAACTAAATAATTCCTCTGATCAAGTACAAGCTGGCCCTCACTTTACAGCACCTAAATTTCACCTTATTAGCCCCGTATAGGACATCCAACTAAAAGAAGATTCCGAATCAATGGAATACATGTGAATTTCTAATTTCGACCAATAATAGAACTTTATTTCTTCCTAAAGCTAACAATGACGACGTTAACGCTGGCAAAAGGACAATATAGGCACGCAGTCCGCGTGCACATTGGTGCGATGATTCCTCAACAAGATTCAATATCTGGAAGTGGATGAACGTCCGGAAATGATATTAGATCCACATCTAGATCTGACCTCATGGATGTCCAAACACCATCCCAACCGGTGTTGTTACTCGAAAAGTTAATGTCGCTGTAGACAGTTCCTTGACCACCTTGTCCAAGTATCCTCTTCTTACTAAAATTGTTGGTAGCCTTCTCTAATTCCTTAGAGTTGAACAGTTTTCCTTTTCCGACACGATTGCTGCCTTCACTGGAAGAAAGTTGCTGTTTCAGTAAAATACCACCATTTCGCTTGAAGAATCTTTCCTTTTGCTTTTGCCTCTTCCTCCTCTTCATCACTCTGCATAACCTCCATAGGAGAATGTTTCTCCGAAATTTAATCCGTAAGAAAACAAACACCGAAAATGGATCTTCGGCTTTTAATTGAAGGACGGGTTCTGTGGTGATTTGACAGAAAATATCCAAGCGATCATAAAAATCAACGTGGAATTGTACAAACCTAAACCAAACCGGAGTTTGACTCGACGGAAAAGTTTAGGAAGTACTATCGAAACAAACTTCGACGGAATTTGACTCGAGGACGAAGCTTGAAAGAGCGGCGGTACTACGCCGGGATTTGACTCGACGACGAAGCACCAAGGATGAAGATTCATATCGGAGGACGACTCGGCGACGTGAATCTGAGCATTAGAACTACTCCTAAAGAATTAAAGCTTGTAAATTGCAGGAAAATAATGGCCTTGGCCAAATGTAAAGGTACGAGTGCAGGAAATGTAAAGATAAAAGAAAGATAAACTGATAAAGAATGTGAGTTCTGTTGTTGATTTATTTTTTTTTGGGGGGGAGTCTTTTCAAAATACAAACTTGGGATATTTATAATCTGGTACAAGCGTTTACAACTTTTAAATTTTAAATAAAAAGTAACTTCCTAACGGTGGTTATTATCTTCCTATTTTCTAGGCACTCTCCACGTTCAAATAACCACCCTTGTCCATAAGCAGTTTTGTTATTGACACCTAACTATCGGTAAGTTGCTGATACCAATCCTCTGCTCACCCACTATCGGTAAGTTGCGAACTATCGGTAAGTTACTGACGCCAAAGCTCCCGATGCCTATTTCCATGATTTTTTTTTCACTTTTTTGTGTAAACAGAGAAAAAGCAAAGCTATCGCAACAAGGCCCACGCCAACGCCTTATTTTGGAGCAAAAAAACCGTTGGTCAGTCAAAGTCCTCACTCGCCCCAAATTTGGCGTGCATTCGCGATAGAAAAGCCTTCTACATTTCATTATTGTCAAAAGTTTCATGATTCACGGGAACGGTTCCTTTTGATCATTTTTTTTAGTGCTCAACTATTTTATCATTTTTAGTAATGCACGGAAATCACGAAAAATTTCATCTCTGTCTCAATTTAGTTAGGGTTGATACCACGAAAAACCTCAAACCGGTATACTTGTGACAAATTTGCCCAAAACTAATTTTTTGACCACCAAAAACTCCAAACCGGTACACCTGTGACAAATTTACCCTCAATTAGTTTTCTTTAAATTTTATCATCAAATTGCTAAGATGGATGACACGCGGTAATTAACGGGTGTATTAGTTTGGGGTTTTATCCTCCGTTTATCACATGTGTACCAATTTGTGGTTGTTTGTGGTATTAATCCAATTTAATTGAAACTAACGGAGGGTAAATTTGTCACAATTATACTAGTTTGGGGTTTTTGATGGTTAGAAACACTAATTTGTCATAGGTGTACCGGTTTGAGGTTTTTGATGGTCATAAATTAGTTTGGAGTAAATTTGTCACATGTATACCAATTTGAGATTTTTCGTGGTACTAACCTGTTTAGTTACAACTTGGAAAACTTTTTCCTATTATTTTTACATTTCTAGAATAACATTTCTTTATATTCTGAAGAGTAAACAATGAAAGAGCCCATGTTTTCCTTGATCTCCTGCTGTCCATTGCAGAGTGTCAGTACTATGTTCTATTTACATGACAAAATACAATGCACCTATTAAAGGACTACACAGAACATCCATCTGCATGATGCGCATGCTATTCATTCATCTAGCAGGATTTTAAAAGTTTGTAGTATGAGATGGAATACCGATAGCGACAAATCTAACCATCCAGTCGTGATCCACACATTCATAGGACCCTGGCCGATTCTCACATATCCAAGGGCAATTGTTCAGTGCTGGATCTTCACATTCGTCGACATCTGCACAGGAGACAATGAAAATTCTGGTCACTCATCGACATGCCTATCACTTAACAGGACGACATCATTTTTGCTACAAAAAGTTTACGCCGACAGAGGACCGTTTCTTCTTAAAGTTTAGTTGGCTTTAGCTTTTATTTCGATTCTCTGGCTGACTAATAATACCTTGTGCTGATAATCTATCCTTCTTGTTGTTTTAAGAATTAACGAAGATATCAACTCTTGAAAATGTGTATTGGTTGGGGCAAAAGGCTGACACAAAACATTAGTCAACACCATTCACACAGATTGTTGTTTGCACAACTTTTACACGGCAACCTCCATCCATTGTTTCCACCAGACCATCGAAAAGGACTAAGCTAATCGTTTTAGAAATCATGCAATATCATCACATGACAATTTGAATTTGCATATCTTCTATTTTCACTCGGTTGAAAGACTAAACTCTTCCGAATCCAAGCAAAATCAAAGTCTGGTGATGGAGTTATCGGTCAGATTGCGCGCCACCAGAGACATGTAGATTCAATGATGTGTGATGTATCAACAATCAAAGATGCTTTGCCTTGACAATCTGCAAGGTACGCATTCCCGACGTAACCAGACCTGCAATAACACCTGTATAATTTCGGCAACCGTTCATTCTCCAGTTTGCCATAATACTCGCAACCATACGAATCGCTTCCACTCAATCCGATCTCACTCGCCATCTCTTTCGGAAGCCCCCACTCCAGCACTCCAGGCAGGTGCTCCATCTCTCTCAGCACCCTCAGATCCTTCCATTCGTTAAACCCTAACCATTGCTTATCCGCCAGGAACGCGAACCTGCACTCCTCTCCAACGGCGACAACATTGTCATCGCTGATCCGTTTGAACTTGACATCGAACTCCCGGAGCCCCGACGGGATCGAGGTCCTGCAGCAGCCGACACCAGAGCAGTCGCTGGAGTTCCCAAGGACGCCTCCGTCACAGCGGGAGGTGCACCCAACGACGGCGGAGGCGGCCTCTGCCATCACAGCAAGGTTGTTGCATCCGACAACGGCAAAGAAGTTGCCGGGCTGGGAGAAGGAGTTCGGGGCTGAAGCGCAAGCTCACGTTAGGAGGAGATGACCCAGCGCCACTGCATTGGTGGCGGACGATCGGGAGGTTGACTTTGACCGTGCCTTGGTGTAGGCCGTAGGTGGTCTCCTACGCGGCCATGGAGTTGGCAGTGTAGGCTCTGTTTAGCGACGTTTATGTTCCTAGAAACAATTTCTGATCAGAAATAGTTTTTTCTATTTCTATTTCCTGGAACAATTTTTGAGCAAAAAAAACGCGTTTAGTAACTGTACAAAATTTCTGTTCCTGAAATAGAACAAGAATAGAAATGCGTTTAGGGCGCGAATAATCTATTTCTATTCCATGGACGAGTTTCTGAGTAAAAAAGCGCGTTTGATAACGACACAAAATTTCTATTTTCGAAATAGAAATTCGTTTGACAATGACATAAAATTTCTCCCTTCCAGACGACCGGCGGAGGACGGCGGGTGGCGGAGGACGGTGGCCGACGGTGGGAGGTGGCCGGCCGGCGGCAGCAGAGGATGGCAGCCGACGTCGGGCGGCGAAGCACGGCGGTTAGTGGCGGAGCACGGCGGCGGGAGGCGGCGGTCGGCGTCGGGCGGTAGAGCACGACAGTCAACGGCGGAGTACGGCAGCCAACGGCGGATCACGACCGCGTCGGGTGGCGGTGACCGGCAGTGGGGGACAACGGTGGGAGGTAGCCGGCGGCGGAGGGTGGCCAGCGTCGAGTAGTGGGGCACGGCGGCCGGCAGCGGAGGACGGGGGCCGGTGGTGGGTGGCCGGCGGTGGGAGGCGGCCGGTGCCAAGTGGCTCCCGGCGTTGGGCGATGGAGCACGGCAGTCGGCGACGGAGGACGGCAGCCGATGGAGGGCGGCGTCAGCGTCGGGCGGCGGAGGACAGCAGCCGGTGGTGGGTGGTGGCAGCGTTGGGTGGCGGAGGATAGTGGTCGGCGACAAGAGGTGGCCGACAGTGGACGGCGGTTGACAGGTAGGAGGCGGCTGACGGGCGGCGGCGGAAGTTGGCTGGTAGGTCGCGGCGAAGGACGGCGAGAGGCGGCAGTGGGTGGGTTGCGGCTGGCGGATTGTTTCTTGTTTTTGGAGAGTTCCAGAAAAAATTGTTTCTTGTTTTTTTTCCAGAAACAAAGAAGTAGATTTGTTTTACTTCTTGTTTTTGTTCCAAATCTATTCCAGGATCACCTTTTTTTTCCAGAAACAAAAAAAGTAAATTTTTTTTACTAACGGATTTCTGTTTTTTTTCTGTTCCGGGGAACAAAAGAACAAAAAAATAAAGAAACAGAAACGTTACTAAACAGGCCCGTAGTAGCCCGGGAGGGAAATGTTGAGGACCTACAAGTTGAGCTTCCCAAGGATCGGGACCGAGGCGTTCTGGCCGCAGATGATCTCGAACCACTCGCCTAGGAAGCAATGGGCCGGGCCGAGCCCAAAGGGGAAGGGTACGGTCACGTTGCGGCACTTGGGCTCGCATCCGGGCTTTGCGGTTTGAAATGTCGGCACGTCAATGGTAGATATCAAGGAGAGAAATAAACAAACGATGATGGGATGAATCCATCGACGACTCATGCTTTTTGTGTTCCTATGGAAACAAATGGTCAGCGAGTTATTCCTTCGTACACGAAACTTTGGATGTTGGTCGAAAGGTGAAAGTACTAGGTTTTAAGTTGGATTCCTACTTGGCGTATTCATCCGTGGTGATTTCATGAGTGTGTGCCTACGTTCGATCTGGTTTAGATTGATCAGTTTAATTTGATGCGCGAAACCTAACTTTAAATAATGCCATGCCCATGTCTAGAAGCTCAAGCCTAAGTAATTTCCACCATGAATAGGGATGTTCGTGGCAGGTGATTTTGCTTTTTTCTTTTTCTTTTTTCCCCTTCGGAGTGAATGGCAAGCTTGACGTTTAGACACAGATTGACAGAGACCCGATTGGAGTAATAATGGTCAGCATCTATTGAAGACCGCTACTCAATGGATTGATGTTGAAGACTTAAAAAATAATTATTATTAGCCATAGTCAAGCCAGCTTAGAATAGTCCTGCTCACTTCCAAAACTATTTGAGAAAAGGTGTTGAGAAAGAAAGTACCTAGCACTTGCATTCATATACGATGGATAGGCAGACAGATTGATAGATATATGTAAAGTAGAGGTTTCAATGAATCTTTTGTCGCGCCGACACGTGGCGAATCCTTGACCCGCCCGAGGGGCTTGGGTATGGTCCGTTGTTTCCGCACGTTTTGATCTTAATTTTTCAACACTACATGCCAATCTAGACATGTCTTCCTAGGGAAGTCGAGTTTTCCTGCGATCTACCTTGTCATTCTTGTTACATTTTGCACTTTAAAAAAAAAATTCATATGTGTCTGACTTGGAGATCTAATATGGAATTATAGTTCAAAAATTTTTAAAAAAAAGAACTTTTATCTGACACAATTTGCCCATGACGAGCTAATATGATAAGACAGATCGATTGTACTGCAAAGTGCGGACATTTTGCACTTAAATATTGTTGAGACCTAATATGAAACTTAAGTAGTCCAAAAATTTTGGAAGAAATTATCTTGGGGAAAATTGTCAAAAAAGTCATAAACCTATTGTACGGCGGCCTACTCAGTCCTAAACCTTTTAAGTTTGCCAATTCAGTCCTAAACCTTTTTAATTCTTGCCAATTGAGTCCTTCCGGCCAATTTTGGCCGACCGGCGCTGACGTGGCCGCCAGCCGGCGCCGGCCGTCCGGCTAACGCTGACATGGCAATTTTTAAATATTTTTTCTAATTTTTTAATCTTTTTTCCAATTTTTTAATCTTTTTTTTTTCTGATTTCTTCCCTCTGTCCGGTACGGCGACTAGCGGCCGGCCAAAGGGGAGGGTCGGCGAGGTCGACCTCACCGGCCTCTGGCGAAGCTCGCCCCGCTGGCCACCGGCGAGGCGACCTCACCCAGTAATGGCGAGGCCGACCTCGCCGTCGCCTAGGTCGCGACGGCGAGGTCGACCTCGCCGGATCTAGGCGAGGCTTGACCTCGCCGTCGCCTGGGTCGTGACGGCGAGGTCGACCTCGCCGGATCTGGGCGAGGCTTGACCTCGCCGTCGCCTGGGTCGCGACGGCAAGGTCGAGCCTCACTAGAGCAAAGGCGAGGCTGATCTCGCCGTCGCTTGGGTCGCGACTGCGAGGTCGAGCCTCGCCATTGCTGGGCGAGGTCGCCTCGCCCAACTAGGAACCGGCGAGGCTCGCCCTTGCCGGTGGCCGGTGGGGCAAGCTTCGCCAAAGGCTAGCGAGGTCGACCTCGCCGGCCCTCCCCTCTAGCCGGCTGCCAGACTGGCCAGAGGGAAGAAATCAGAAAAAAAAAAAGATTAAAAAATTGGAAAAAAGATTAAAAAATTAGAAAAAAATATTTAAAAATTGCCACGTCATCGTTGGCCGGACGGCCTGCGGCCACGTCAGCGCTGGCCGGCCAAAATTGGCCGGAAGGACTCAATTAACAAAAATTAAAAAGGTTTAGGACCGAATTGGCAAACTTAAAAGGTTTAGGACTGAATTGGCCGCTGTACAATAGATTTAGGACTTTTTTGACAATTTTCCCAATTATCTTGAATACAGTCTGTCCATGATGAATCTAATACGGATCAGGATTGATCTACTGTAATGCAAGGTACAAATACAATATTATGTCTCTTGGACTTGTATATAGTTCATGACCCAATATGAAGTAAGATAAATCATGAATGAGCCCATTAATATATATAGACACACACACACTTTGCCTTTTCTATGAACCCATTAAATATAACTGATATCTGATTGGCGTCTATAAAATTTAATCCCAAGCAAAAGAACTTAGGAAACCAATTCGATCTTATATCAGTGGGGGATAAAAAAAACTCGTAATAAACTTGTCTATTAATAAGCATAACATAATACATATTACAAGACGGATAGAATTGAGTTCGGGAGTGGCAAAATACAAGAAGTATACGAAAGAAATCAGTTGCACTAGTATGAAGTACAATTGTTCTAATAATCAAATTAATGTATTATTTTGTAAGAGCCGTATAAACAAATCTCATATGCTCATTGATTGTTATAGACCAGTAAAAGTGCACCCATTCGTTTATATGATAATCCACATTTAAAATAGTTTTTGTAAAACCTCCTTATTGCGAAAGATTTGGATTATTAATCAATGGAAAGTAATTATTGATATAAAGAAATTGCACAATGCAAACACGTATATGTGGAAAAGGAACAAAATTTCAAGATAGGAATTATTTTGGGTAAGGTTGTGTATACAAATTGGAAGAAAATTTCACTCGAAGCGATCTAATAAAATTTTACCACTTGTTATAAATTTTACCTGATGGACTTTAAAGGGCCAAAGCAGTTCTGTGAAGCGTTCCATCGCCTCGATAAGTATAACATAATGTGCAATAAAAAAGATCGGAACCGGAAAGTTAAGGTTTGTTTTGTAATGTTTCTGTTTTCGGAAATAATTTCTGTTCAGAAATAGTTTTTTCTATTTCTATTCCATGGACAAGTTTCTGAGCAGAAGAACGTGTTTGGTAACTGTACAGAAATGCGTTTAGTACGATCCTAAAAATTTCTACTCCCAATTTTTTCATTTAATTATAAAAATGTTAGTGGAGACTTAACAATTCATGTTTGGATAAAACTGGACTGGAAATAGAATCCGAATATATTACGATATAGAATCGAATGACCTTAATACAATCATAAAGAAAATTACTCCTTATAGACAAAACAAATACCGGATGGTGGTCGAGGAAATTACAGTATAGGGTTTAGGGTTAGGGTTTTAGGGTTTCGGGTTTGGGATTTAGGGTTTGGGGTTTTAGAGTTTTGGTTTTAGGATTTCGGGTTTGGGGTTTTAGGGATTCAAGTTTTGGGATTTGGGGTATAGGGTTTAGAGTTTAGGGTTTTAGGGTTTCGGGTTGGGGTTTATGGTTTAGGGTTTCGGGTTTTGCGGTTTAGGGTTTGATGTGGCATATGGAAAATTCCCATGTTTGTTAATATTATTTAGGACGAATTTCCGCGACCGAACTGCCACGAGTCTGAGGCGTTAGAATTAAGTTGATAGATTTCGATGTGCACGTTAGTGGTGTAGAATGATGATGCTTATTTTGCCGCCAATCTATTGGCAAAATAGGGCGATATGTTGTGAAAGTCATATTTGCTTTTCTTACTTTTGATATCTTTCATTTATAATTTTAGTTGGTTCAAAGTATTTTCAGACTTACCAAAGTTTAGAATCAAATGTTCAAAACGAAAATATTTTCAAATACACGAATGCTCAGAACCAGATGTTGAGAACAAAAATCAGCTTCTTAAATCTCTATTTCTCCTCAATTGACAAGCCACTTCTCTTTTCCTATCAAGATTTTTTTTTAAATCCATGCTTTAATGTGATACATTGAACTTGGGTGCTTGACATCATGCCTTACATCATATACTTTGGCTTAAGTTGTGATACATTTTACGGGTGATTAGTAGTACTCCTCGGGGTACAAGATTGTTCCTTTGGAGTTAAGGGAAAGTTTTACGTTTTGACATAGATTGACGGAGACCCGATTGGAGTACCAATGGTCAGCATCTTTCAAAGACCGGTACTCGATAGATTAATGCTGAAGACTTGTATTACTATAAGGCATAGTCAAGCCAGCTTAGAACAGTCCTAGGCACTTCAAAACCTATTTGAGGAAAGGTGCCGAGAAAGAAAGGACCTAACACTTGCATTCATATACGACAGGATAACCAGACAGATAGTTAAATTGACATGTAAATTAGAGGTTTCAATGTAGCTTTTGTCGAGCCGACACGTGACGAATCATTGACCCACCGAGGGATCGGTTATGGTCCGATCTTTCGACACGTTTTGATCTTTTTTTTCAACATAGTAAAATCTAGACAAGCCTTTTTGAGGGAAGTTGCGTTTTCCTGCAATCTACCTTTTTTCATTCTTGTTACATTTTGCACTTAAAAAAAATGCATACATATTTGTTTCGGAGATCTAATATGGAATTACAGTTTAAAATTTTTGAAAAACAAACTTTTATCGAACACAATCTGCCAATGACGAGCTAATATGATAACAATAGATCCGTTGTAATGCAAGGTACGGACATTTTGCACTTAAATAATGTTGAGACCTAATATGAAACAGTCCAGAATTTTTGAAAAAATTATGTTGAATACAATTTTTCCATGATGAATGTAATATGGATTAGGATCAATCTATTGCAATGCAGGGCAAAAATACAATATGTCTCTCAAACTTATTTATATAGTTCATGACCCAATATAAAGTAAGATAAATCATGAATGAGCCCATAAAGTATAATTAATATCTAATTGGCGTCTACAAAATTTAACCCCATGCAAAAGAATGTAGGAAACCAATTCGATCTTATACCAGCGGGGATCAGAAATTTGAAAGACACTTATGTGTTAATAAGCATAACATAATACATATTACAAGACCGATAGGATTGAGTTCGGCAGTGGAAAAATACAACAAGTATGCGAAAGAAATTAGTTGAAGTAGTATGAAGCACAAATTTTGTAATAATCAAATTAATGTATTTTTTCGTAAGAGCCATATAAACAAATCTCATATTGTCATTGATTTATATAGTCCAGTAATGCACACACTTTGTGATGCGAGAGCATCGGGTTTTGTCGATCGATTCAAGTTGAAGATGTCAATTATGCAAGAGAGTTGTCGATTCAGTAGATAAGTTGTCGATTTCATGATTGCCGATTGGTTACTGAAATATCGATATACAAGTTTATTGTCTATTTGGAGACTTCCTATCGACTACCTAATGACTAGAGTTTGTTCTCATCGATTTCTATCGCTGTTTGGAGATCTCCTACGATGACTATTCGGCTTCCATGGATGGTGCACGAATTTGAGAGAGTCAAGCTTCCATGTCTTTAAATGCATTTCTGGTTTCTAGGTGTTTTAATGCATTTCTGGTTTCTAGGTGTTTTAATGCATTTTCTATTTTATAGGACTTTATTGTGTTTTCTAGTTCCTATTACTTTAATTACTTAGGTAGTTCACATGTCTTTAATGTTTGTTTTAATTCCTATGTATTAGTTCCTCTATAAAGAGAGGTGAAATCTCAAATGTAAGACAGAAGATTTTGAATATTGAAAATATATGTGATTTGTCTCTATGTGATCAAATATCTATCCCCAATTTCTATATCCTTAGAAGGTGGATTCTTCCGTGGTGGTGAGCCAAGAAAAATTATATCCTCGGCTAGTGATTATCTATAGGCCTTGGTGATGAGTTTCTCCTTTGTCGAAGTCTTGAATCATTGGTGGGTGGTTCGTTATGTAAGCCTTAGTGGTGAACTTCCTAAAATCCCAATCTTGATCCTTGGTTGGTGGCTTGTCCTGTATGCTTTGGTTCTGATCGTAATCTATCCTCAAAACATATTGTATCCCCTTATCACTCAAAATGCATTCCCCCGCCCCCGCAACTGCATCACTTTGCGTTTATATAAAACTGACATTAAAAATATTCTTTTGTAAAACCGCCTTATTGCAAAAGACTTGGATTATTAATCAATGGAAAGTAATTATTGATACAATATAAAGAAAGTGCAAACGCATATGTGTGGAAAGGGTTTCAAGATTGGAATTTTTTCGGTAAAGTTGTTTGTACAAGTTGAAAAAAAAAATTACTCAAAGAGATATTTTAAAATTTTGCCACTCGTTATAACTTTTATCCAAGGGACTTTAATGGGCCAAAGCAACTCTGTGAAGCGTTCAGACACTTCGATAAGTATATCATAACATGAAATCAAAAAGATCGGAAATCGGAAAGTTACTTTTTCATCTCCTGTATGCGCAACAAAAGACAGGTAGTTGGCTAAAACTGATGAAATATCCCCAATAGTAAACCCCTGTGAAAAGCTAAAGCAGGCTAACAAGACCTCAAGAAGAGACACTATAGTCTTCAATGATACTCGACATACAAAGAGTATATCAACAGGGAGCGTGAATTTTTCTAAGCACTTCTTAGGGTTATCAACATTATTCTGCAACTGACGTGTAAAGGCACATAAAGAGATTGCGATGTCTCATATCACAGAAAGTTGGACAGAGAACCAAATGTATCTTCATCTCAGCAATAGGAGTGACTGATCCTCCTCCACACGTATAAAGGCAAATAAAGAGATTGCAATGTCTCATATCACAGAAAATTGGACAGAGACAACCAAAATGCATCTTCATCTCGGCAATAGGAGTGACTGATCCTCCTCCATTGAAGTCAGCTCCACTTCTGCTTCCAGTTGCATCAACGCAGGGATCGCACCCGAAGCACGAATAGATCCAGTTCTAATGCAATTGATCTCTTCATCATTTTTCCGGATGACCGTGAGATTTCGTAGTGATTGTACTCGCTCTAATTCCGTCGCCACTTCCTTCATCGTAGGCCTGTACCTCCCATTGAGGCTTAAGCATCTTTTCGCCAAACAAGACACCGCAATAGTTTCTTCTTTCTTGCCATGGTCTAATACCTCCTTATCAAGAACATCGAACAAGCGATCCTCCTCCATTGAAATGATGAAGTACGAGGCAAGATTTCTGCCCTCTTCTGCCCTTAGTTGAGAAATTGGCTTTTCTCCGGTTAGTAGCTCGACAAGGACAACCCCAAAACTATACACATCACTTTTGTCCGTGAATTGACTTGTTTGGTAATACTCCGGGTCCAAGTATCCAAAGGTTCCTTGCACTGTTGTGGTCAAGTGAGTTTGGTCTATGGTAATTGATCTAGAAGCTCCAAAATCTGCCACTTTGGCTTGATGTTTTTCGTCCAAAAGTATATTTGACGACTTGATATCCCGATGATAAACCGGTATGACTGCAGCAAAGTGCAAATACGAAAGAGCCCCAGCAACTTCATTGGCAATTCTTAACCGCGTCTCCCACGAGACAGGAAATTCTTTGTCTGGATCATGAAGATATTGGTAGAGAGTTCCATTGGCGATAAATTCATATACCAAAAGAGGGACTTCACTCTCCAGACAAAATCCTAATATCTTGACAACATTTCTGTGATTAATTTCAGAGAGAATAACGACTTCGTTGACGAACTGTTCGACTTGTCCTGCATCAACAACTTTTGATTTCTTGACCGCAATAATTGTTCCATCTATCAACATTCCTTTATAAACAGTGCCTTGACCACCTTGATCCAGTATTCGATTCTCGTTAAAGTGGTCTGTAGCCATGTCTAACTCCATGGAGGTAAACAACTTGCCTTTCTTCATGTGATTGTCTTCAATAGAAGATAGGCGTTGTTGCAACAGAAGTCCCCCATTACGTTTGAAGAATTTTTGCTTGAGCTTTGTCTCATGTCTTCTTTTGAAGAATTTATACAACCACCAAGATAGCAAAAGTAACAGTATGGCTCCGATACTCGTGCCCATACCTGTGTAAAAGAAAGTCAGACCACAATTGCTTTAGGAACAGAATACATATTTTTCTGAGAGTTTTTCTGCACTATTGGATTTAAGTTACAAGCATTGTTGAGTGCACTAATTACGAAAGTACATTTAAATTGAGCAGAAATGGTAGTTTTTTTTTTTTTAACTTCATGCAAATGAAATTGGTGTATTATATAGACGGTCACATTCTGTGATCACGGCAAAAAAGGAGCGGGGAGTAACGTACCTATCATGGCGATGATCTTATTGTCTACGCAGTCATATGATCCCGGTCGATTCACACACTTCCCTCTGCAGTTGAGGTTTGGATATTCTTTGCACTCATCGATATCTGATCGATATTAAATGATGAATGAGATAAAAGAAAGAATTAAAAAAGAAGAAGAAGCTGTTTCAATATATATGATATCAGATTGAATATTCAGCAGTCAAGTTCTCTTTGGATTCTCCTGTTTTACCAGTTTGGGAGCATCCATCTTCTTTATAATTGTTTCAGCTATATTTGCGGGCTTTTAATAGGTTTCTAGCTCGCATATTGTCTTACTTGGCTTTTAATAAAGAATAAGGGTAAGATACAAAATAAAAGTGGATGTTCTAATCTCACCTTGGCATCCATGAGGAAGATAAAAATTCCCTCTGTAACCGTTATTGCAAGAGCAATATGTTAGACTAGGAACCCCAGGCGTCGAGTACGTAGTGCAGGAGGCTGAGTTGTCATCCAGCAACTCATGCTCATAATTAGTGATCGCCCATTCGAGCACCACCGGAACATCTGGCGGTAAACTGTGCAAATTAGCTTGATACCAAGATGTTCTCTTGACCAAGAAGGCATACCTGCATTCTTCATCCCCTGGTGCTATGGTTTCACCATCGAGAGTTTTGAATTCCACATTGTATTCACTGATTCCATCGGGGATCGAAGTCATACAGCAACCACTACCACTAGAGCACTGGTTGAATCCGAGAGTCCCATTTTTGCGGCAGGAAGACTTGCATCCTACGACCGCCCATGGGGTATCGGAGCCAGCCATCAAGGCAAGGCTATCACAACCTCCGGCAACAAAAAAGTTATGAATCTGGGAGTACTTGAAAACGCTGTTACTGGCCCTTAAGTTCACTGGGGTGTCATTTTGTTGTGTACAATTAGGATGGGAGTACGATATCGGCTGCCTGACTGTAACGAGACCTGGAGTATTTGTATTACTTGGTAGAGAGATATCTAACACCACCACACTCAAATTCTTAAGTACCGGAGTAGAGATGCCGCGGGCTCTTTGGCAATCGATCTCGTACCGGGGATCCAAGAAGCAATTGTGTCCGATTCCGAAAGGATATGGAATGTCAGTGAGATCGCCACATGTATTTGGACAGCCTGGCCAGGCCAGACTCTGAGGAGATGATTCTGCTGCAGCTGCAAAAACAAACAAAAGAACAACGAAGGCCATATGAGATAACAGTGTCAGCATCGCCAGGATCATCTTCTCCCGATTCGTGGTCCGCAGTCTGCTACTCCAGTTTGCTATTGCTAGAAAAGAAGAGGCTGATGAATACGATTTGATGCGCGCCACCGCTATTTAATTGTCAAACACGTCTCCATGTAACGACAAACGATGACTTATGGTGGGACTTGGTAGAAGCCAAATTTTCCCTCTTCAACATTGGCAGCTCCCCCTTGAAGTTTGAGTCCAAGGTTCCCGAGTCTGCACTCTGCACGTGTTTTGAATGTAATATTTCTAATTGCAATACAAAGTTTTCTTCTGCCATCGATTATATTAAAAAACTGATTATATTTCATTTATTGATATATATACCCCGTGTATCCGGCCAAAATATATATACCATATGTGTGATTTTAGTCGACAAAGATATATTCAATTGCCATGTTTCTCTATAATTAATGACAAGCATGATTAATTTACTTACAATGACAAAGTTAATTAACTTATCAGAATATATATATAGTGTAAAGAAATGTTTCAAGCTCATAATCAACTTCCACGCACCAGTTGGGACTTATTTGATAGCCAATAAATAAACAACAAAGAGAATGAAAGGAATAAAAGAGAATCAACAGACAATGATAGTCTCTTCAAAACACAAAACTCAAATATAAATGGTCAAGAGGCATGTCCTTTCGCCAAAATAGAAATAATAAAAAGTTAACAGTTTATTACACTTATAAAATAATCCAACAAGTGATGTCTATATTGTAATTCACCAATCAAAATACTAGTTGAAGAAGTTTGCTCCAATCAAAATATTACATTCTAAATTGAAAATATTTAGGTACTTCCCTTCAAGACTTGGCTAGCATAACACCACCGTCAAAGGAAAGAAGGATCACGCATTCCAGGGCACACACATAAATCTTGTGGTGGGGCGCACATTCATGGGAAAATATGTGGTGCCGACTGCGGTGCATGCATCATGGGTCTTGAATTGACTTGACTGTGGATCAACCTGACTGGGTACATTTTATCCTAAAACTGAAATGATCAATGGTTCAAATGAATTTAATCTACCCGATTTATAAATTATGTAACAATTCTTGGTATAAGCCTAGCCACCTCTACATAGAAATTCCATATCACTCATCAAAATATTACCCCACTTAATTTTATTAGGAAAATTGGCCCAAAAGTCATAAACCTATTGCACTTTTTACTAATTCAATCTTAAACTTCTTAACTGTATTAATTGAGTGTTAAACATTTTCATGTTTCGCCAATTGAGTCTATTCGGCCAATTTTGGCCTGAAATCACTGGTGTGGATGCAAGCCATCTTACGTGACATGACGACGCTGACTTGAACAATTTTTAATATATTAAAAATAAAAAATTAATAAAAAAATTCGAAAAAATATTATTAAAAGTTATCCATGCAATCCAGAACCCATTGTAGCTATAGTTGTAGTTGTAGCTGTGGCTGTAATTGTAGTCGTTGCCATGGCAATGGCATCACAGCCCTCGAAGCTGCCATTGCGTGTCTGCCCACAACCCGCGTCTCTCTCTCTCTCTCTCTTTGATTAAAGCCCAAATCATCAATATATCAACTGAACTTGGTTTATATTAGTCTATAAATTATAAATATTATTGGTATGACTATTCCTTGCTAAATATGGTGGCAAATTTAGGTCATATTTTTCCATCGAACATACGTCAGGCATGAGATCATAGCCTATTTTACGAGTGATACAGATGAAATCATGGAAATTTCCCGATAACTTCATGAGCCCAAGAATAATTGCCGCCAAGATGTTTCTGGAAAGTCATCATCCTAAAAATGCCAAAGCTCTTGTATTATTGTACTTGTATCGATAAAATAATATCAAATCAGTTAAAAGTGATTGGACATATGGATGAATCACAATGTATTGGCCATTATGGGTGCGTTTGGTAATATTTTTGTTCCCGAAAATAACCTTTTTTTTCAAAAATAGTTTTTTCTATTTATATTCCTTAGATGATTTTTGAGCAGGAGAACGCGTTTGGTAACCGCATAAAATTTCTATTTTCGAAATAAAAAAAGAACATAAAAGCTTTTGATACGACCCTAATTTTTTTTATGACGAGAATTATTTTTTTTAGTTTTTAAGTAATTTTCTGAGATTTTTCTATTTTTTTTCTTTTCTTTTTTTCGTCCCTTCTTCTTCCTCCTCTAGCTGGTCACCGGGCCTCGGCGATGGCTAGCAACCAACTAGAGACAAGGGCCAGCGAGGCTCAACCTTGCCCAGCCACCGCAAGGTCGGCCTTGCCATGGCCAAGCGAGGCCGGCCTAGCCACCATGAGGCCGAGCCTCGCCGAGCCTTGTCTCTAGCCAGTCGTCGGTCATCGCCGAGGCCCGGCGACTGGCTAGAGGAGGAAGAAGAAGGAAGGAAAAAAAGAAAAGAAAATGATTTGTTTAAAAAATTGTTCCCTAGAATAAAGAAGTAGGTTTTTTTTTACTTCTTGATTCCTTTCCAAATCTATTCCCTTATCATTTTTCTATTCCGGGGAATATAAAAATTAGTTGACGTTATCAAATGGATTTCTGTTTTTTTTTTTCTGTTCCGAAGAACAAAAGAACAGAAAAATAGAGAAACATGATAGTTACCAAACGTGCCATAAATATTACTTGTTCTTCATGAATCATTGAATTTCAGGTTGCCTCTTGACTTAACTTTTATTATCCCTCTCAAAGAATTTCCATTGATTTTCTAATTTCAAAATATTAAAATTACCCCACCACTGTACAAAAAATATTAAGAAAACAAGAAGAAAAAATTACCCATTAACTTTGCTTTAGTTTATTTCAAGAATCTTGTGTTGGTCCATTGTTATAGAGAAACAAATAGTTTAGCGGACTAGATTGTAAAAGCCACTAGGTGTAAGGCCCTTCCATAATACTGGGTTTATAACCCCTCTGCTACCCTTTGGGAGATTTTGTGTTTTGATGCCTCTTACTCTTGTAATTGAGCTTGAATTTAATTAACTGCAAGTATCTTTTCAAACTAAAAGAAAAGAGAAAAGAAAAGAAGATATGCTTGATACAATAATCAGCACAAATTAGTTCTTCCATTGAATATATTGATCTTCTTCTATGTCATATATAATTTAAATGTGAAGAACGAGTCACACTTATAGGACCACACAACAATAACTTTATTATATATGATTAAGCGCATGATAGAGATAAAGATGCTACCCTTTTTCATGGAAGTGCCAGATTATTTCTTTCTCAATTTAAATGTGTTCGATTAAATTTATTATGAATTTTACTCGGTCTTCCATTTTTCTTTTCATTTTCCGTTATCATTCTATTTTATCCGTACATTCTCTTTATGCCAATAGTTTTTATTGTCTTTTCGGATCCTTTTTTACTATAGAATTAAACATTTTATTTTTATTTTCTTCTTTTCCCATCGATCATTAGGAATTTTTTTGCGTTCCTACTTTCCATTTTACTTTAATTTTTATATGATTGTTCATTTAAATTGAATACAAAATAGAATTGAATCATGGATTTTTCCCCATATTGAATTATTTTTAGAAATTTAAATTTAGGCTACAATTTTCGCATGCTTTGCCTAATTATTTTCAAATGTTATATTAAAATTAAAAATTATAATATGGAGTATTAGCCAGTGAACACAAACTAAATTGATCTCATAATACGTAAGGGAGGATATATATTGTTTTTCCCAACTCTCAAAGCCTAAATTTTCAATACAAACCTTTCTCTTCTTAAAAAGAACCCATAATATGAACGGATGTAATTTATCCATGTTATATGTAAAGAGTTCATAAATAATTACTCGATTATATCTTATGCCACGTCCTTAAAAATAAATGTACTGTGAACAATCCTCTGCATTATTTAATTCGGAAACAACTTGATATAAGAGACAATAACAAGCTAAATTCCCTATTGAGTCGTTTTTTTTAATATATTTCATTTATTAGTCATGTAAAGAGATAGATCAGATAAATATTTTTTTTATCAATTACCGAATAACCCAGTGACAATGAGAAAACAAATGTCCTGCAAAATGGCAAATACTAGTAATCAATTCATAAAAGGGTTAATATAACCAAAAACCCCAAACTGATACATTTGTGACAAATTTACTTCAAACTAATTTTTTGATCACCAAAAACCCAAAACTAGTACACATGTGATAAATTTACCCTCCGTTTGTTTCCGTTAAATTTTACCGTCAAATATCTAAGTTGGATAACATGTGGCAGTTGATGGGTGTACCGGTTTGAAGTTTTACCCCTCCATATGTCACAAGTCTACCAATCTGTGATTTTTCATGGTATTAATCTAAATTTAAAGGGGGTAAATTTGTCACAAGTGTACCAATTTTGGATTTTTGGTGGTTAAAAAATTAATTTTGGGTAAATTTATCACAGATATAGCAGTTTTGGATTTTTTATGGTCAAAAAATTAATTTTGGATAAATTTATTACATATATACCAGTTTGGAATTTTTCGTAGTATTAACCCTTTTTAAAAATCTTCATTGACAAGAGGGAGATCTAAATAATTGCTTTGAACAAGTACAAGGTGGCCCTCACTTTTCAGCACCTAAATTTCACCTAAATTGCTTTGATCAACCACCGCTAGAGAGGGAGCTTCCCCGATTGAGCGTATAATGACCAAGTTGGAGAAAAGAACATTAGAAGTGCCAAAAGTTATGTACAACGCTCACTTTAATGCAATAATTTTTTTTCGGAACACTTAGCGCCCGTTTGGCAAGTTGTCAAACAGTGATAATTTCTGTTATTTTGTTCCCAGAATAAGTTTTGTACAGAAATCCGTTTGGTAAATTTTTTGTTCCTGAGCACAAATTTGCAAAAATTTATTCCCAGAATCAGTTTTGGAACATAATCAAAAAGCAAAAAAAAGTAGCTTCTTGATTTTGGGAATAATTTTTTTCATTTCTGATTCTTCTTGGTTTTTTTCTTCCTTCTTGGTTTGTTATTGTTCTTCTTCTTCCTGGCTTGCCGCCAGTTGCCAGCCGCCGGCAATCGGCCACAGGCTAATTCTGGCGAGGGCGGCTCGCGGCCGCAATGGCAAGGGCGGCGGCGAGGGTCCTAGCCATGGGCCAAGAAGGGGAAGAAGAAGAAAAAAAAGGAAAAATAAAAAATTGAAATATTAAAAAATTGAAAATATTATTAATAAAAAGAAATTTTGGGCAGTTATCAAACGCATTTCTGTTCTTTTTCTATTCCAAGAATAGAAATTTTGGACAGTTATCAAGTGCCTTCAAATGCTTAGAAATTGTTCCCGGGCACAGAATGGTTGCCAAACGCACCCTTAAGTGCCAAATCGGAGAAAAAACGATCACTTAAGTGTCAATTCCGGCCAAATTGATTAGATGACCTTTATAATTAAAAATTTTAATATGACTTGGCATATTTTTTAAACAATCCAGTCCATGTGGACGTCAAAATAACGTCGCACAATCTAACTGGCATTGAAGTGATCATTTTTTAACAATGACTAGCATTGAAGTGATTACTTTAAACAAACTTTTGGCACTCAAACAATCACTATTTATAACTTTTAGACGATGTTGTTTAAGGGTTATATGCTAACTGGGTACATCGGCGTGCCGCATAGGACTGAGAAATTAATAAAATATGATCACGTCGGATTTCCGACGACCTAGATCAGAGTTGACACTTAAGTTATTATTATTATTTTTAAAGTAGCACTTAAGTGATCCGAAAAAAACTTTTGGTACTAAAGTGAATACCGTACACAACTTTTAGCACTTCGGGTGCATTCGTTTGGCTAAAAATAAGTGATTTGGAAAACATTCTCCAAAAAATAATCGCTTATATTGTTTAGAAAAATAAATGAATAGAAATTTTTTTCATCGCCCACGAAAATAGTTAGGCATGAATTGTTATCGATGATGAAAATATTTTCCGTTGACTAATGTCTAAACGATATAAGCAATCATCTTTCGGAAAATATTTTCCAGATTACTCATTTTTCACAAAACAAACGCATCCTTCTAGTGTCCTTCTCCCCTTTGTGCGGACTTCCTTAGAGGAAGCCAGTGAAATGTTAGAGATGTATATATACACACAATGGGTGATCGATCGTAGGCCCATGCCCCAATCTCAACATTTTGGCCCATTAAGCTCGAACGAAATTAGCCCATATTAATTTGCGGAAAGAAAAACCCAAGTGAGCCTAGCAAGAATAAAAAGCCCAGTCAGAGCACAAATCAAATGAACCCAAGAAGGAATCCCTCCGTTCCGTTTTAGCTCCCGTGTCGATAGTGAATGGCTCGCCCGATTCCTTCTCTAGAAGTTGCTGAGGTGGGATTGTGCATAACGTTTTTCATCGGCACGCAGCAGAACCGACGGCGAAATTCTCTCTAGGAGTAGGAAGGGAGCGATTCTCTTGGGATTTTCTGTTTCTGGCGTATCTGTTCACCGCCGCTATTTATTCATTTCTAACGCCGTGCATCGGAGAGCTCGGCTCTGCTTTGTTACTCTGGCCGGGAACGCGGAAGTGGCTCTGCTCCTGCTCGAGATTCCTTCGCCGGCGCCCATCTTCATTGCCGGCGCGCTGTACCTGCGAGTCGTAAAGTTTTCGTCGGCCAGCGTCCATCATCAACCTCAAGAGGGGGCGCAGAACTGAAGGAAGGGAGTTATTTTTGTTCCAGTTCACGGCGGAGAGAGAGAGAGAGCACGAGAGAGGAACGCTCCAACGCAAAATTTTCTCTCGTCGAACCAAGTGCGAGAGGCTTCGAGAACACGCTGTTCGACGCTGAAATCCGCCATTTACGGTCACTAGCATTCGCCGACGATCGCATTCCACCAGTCGCCGCCGGAGTTACTGGGAAGACGTTTCGTACACATCTGTCATAGAAGCGAGAGCCGAAAATCTTCTGGATTGAAAATTTCCTTCGTCATTTAAGCTTTCTCCATCGTTTCTGAAGGCTGTCCGAGGCACTGAAGACGCAGTTGCAATGCTCTGTTTTGGCTCTGTTACCGCAGCCAAAAAGCCTTGAAGTAATTGGACTTTGCTTGATCTTCTGCAGCATCAACCACCGGCGAAGACATCTTGGAAATTCTAGTACTCAGTTCAATCGGTGTTCCTGGTCGTTGGATCTACAGGTAAGAATATTCTTAATCTAATGTGGCTAATCGAGTATGAGAAATGTGGTTGAGGCTCATGGGAAATTCGTCTATGGTAAAAGCTTTATCAATGTTTTATATGTGTATTGATGCTGTAGTGATGCTGATAGTGATTCTTTGCCTTATTGTGAGTAGAAGTTCATTAATCAAAGTGCATGCCACCTATTCGAGGAAATATTTGAGTGAAATCAGAATGCATGTTCTCTAAAGGAAACAAGTTCCATTAGCCAATTCGTTCAGTGTTTTACTTCTCGCCATATGATTGTAGCATCCTCATGTATGTATATGTCCTTTTTCATCATTAAACCGAGAGCCATATGTTGTCAACCCATATTCCTTTCTATCATGCATGAATCGATTCATGTTGTTTGTCGATTTAAGGATTTACGTGGAAACTGTATTTCATAGCTCTCAAATTACCATGAACAGGATCGACCAATCGAGTTGTTGCTCATATGGTTCATTCTGAACATCCTTTATAAAAGGGTTGAGCACTCGTTGATGCAATACAATCGATCCCCCCTGATTCAACTGGGAAAAACAGCTTGCTAAAAAACAAGCCTTGAAATTCGGAATGGAACAATCGAGTCACTCATTAAACGTTAGGGAGTACATCGATGATGTCGTTTGGCTGTTAGATATGAGGGAAAGGGAGGAAATTATACACTATGTACAAGCGCCAGACCAACCACTCATAGTAAATGAAAGTAACAACAATGATGAGATTCAAAAAGCTTCCGAGCTTGTTTTTCTCGTCCTCTTTTATAGCTAGATTTTAACGCGGGTTTCTCTTGCAGCTATACAACCACTAATTGAATGCCAATTGACTTATTTTGCATGTATTATTTAAAAACACATGCAATGATCCTGAGGTCGACCTCGGGCGGCGTGTCATGCTTAGCGCGGAGCAATCTCCTTGGTCCTGCTCGTCATCGGGTACTCGTCATGCTGGAATTTCCCGGGGCTCATCATGCAGGGCCATCTAGGCGACGCGAAGCGTATCCTTGCCAGGACCTCTGACTCATTGCCGAGGTCGATGTTGGAAGCCATAGCGGAAGGATTTGCGATGAGCAGCAATGTCACGGTGGTCCTCTGTTAGATGAAACCAGGCAAGCATCTCTCCAGACACAGAACACTTCCTTGCGGGAGAGAGATAGAGCAAGGAGGAGATCATATGGGGATTCTATGAATTAGCAAAAGAACTCTTCTCATCAAACAATTATATCACACGAATCCTTCGGCAATTTTTTTGACATATTCCTCTTTTGTCCCTTGATTCTCAACCTCGGGTGGCGCGTCATGCTTAGTGTGGAGCAATCTCCTTGGTCCTGCTCATCATTGGCTCATCATGCAGGGCCGTCTAGGCAACGCGAAGCGCATCCTCGCCAGGACCTCTGACTCCAAGGAGGAGGCCGTGCCGACATTAAGGAGGCTGCCGATATCCCTAAGAAGTGCAATGAGGACTTTGTCAAGATCACCAAGCAAAGCACTGGAGAGGGCATGTGGTGGGATCTCCTCTTCCACCTGATCCCGTCCGCCTGTCACAGGCTCATCGGAGAGCATTTGTGAGGATTAATCGACTTAAAGATATTATATTTGATTTATAGTATATATCAATATATAATTTTTGTAAGGTACTTTTTATTTTTCTTTATTGTTCGTCTATCTCATATTTAGAATTTCACAATGATTGTCATTAGTATAATTTCAAGAAAATAAAATATTTTCGTACAAGCCGAACACACAAAATTAGGATAGGAACCTAGTCAATACGAATCTACTAAAATTTTAAAAGATAAAATTCATGCAAAGCATGGCTTACACAATACATTCCATAGGCATGTGATGGCATTTTCATAATCCATGAATTATCAAAAGGTCCTTCATTTTAAAATAGACAACGCGTAATAGAAGTTCTTGCATTTCAATTAGTAAGGTAAGCTTTGCATTGTCGATAGAATATGAATCCTCTAAAGTAAAGGGATCATATGCATAACAAACTTGCAGCCCCGTGTTGGCTGCTTCCTGCCATCATCATATCCTCTTTGGCCTCTCTCTCTCAACAAAAATTAGGGGACGTGATCTCATGTTGTCAAAAAAATAAGGATGGATGCTTAATGAACGACAAATAAAGAGGGATACCCAATAATCGACAAATAAGGAGTCTCACCCTTATTTGATTCACTAGAGATTACCCGATTCAAATCAAATGACCAAAATTGCTCTATCTAGAGTTTCTTTTGTTCGTGAAATAAAAAAAAAACCAGAGGAGGGTTTCTCTTGTCCAACAAGACAACCCTGTACGCAACGACTAGCTCCGCCGACGCTGCGATGATGGAGAACCTGCCTTTGTGGGAGCAACTTTGGCAAAAGCAATGGTACACAAACTCGGACGATCTATCTTCTTGCTTCTTTCTCATTTGTTGGCCAAGCTCCAATCCTTTTTCTTTCTTTTGTCCTTTATGGCTTTTTTTTGTGCTTGACTTTTCACTGCTAATTTCTTGTAAAGGTTCATATGTCATTGCTGTTTTTCATAAGAACCGTGAGTTTGTTTTCCTTGCTGTGAGAATATTCAATTCACTAGTGCAACCAAAGGAATATCTGCTCATCTAACTAATAATTTTTTATCGCTTTTAATGTGATTGGGGTTATAGATGGTTTCAAATAAATTTATCCCTGAAATTACAATTGTATCAAATAATAAAAACAAAAGAGATATAATTAGACCCACCTGCGCATGACCGAGTTGGTGGGCGCTTTTCTTCCCTCCTTAGAGGTTCTGGGTTCGAATCCCGCTCGGTTCCGTAATTTAAGTGGGGGGCCCTGGCGGTGGGTTGCTGGGCTAGTCTCCCCCGAGGTATAGGCGCCCCGATTACCTGTGCGGGCTCGTCCCCGGGGAATAGTGTCGGATCCTCGGTTACCAAAAGAAAAAAAAGAAGAAGATATAATTAGAACAAACCTTATAACTTTCCATTTCATTCACTTCCTTACGAAACTATCCATTTTCTTCCTTTTCTTTCCATAGCCAACCACTAAACTTTACGCCTATGCGCATCGCTTGCACAGACATAAAAAATATATAAATTTATAAGCTCTCTATAGTGTTTAGCAAATTGATCATCACTTTCAGCCTCAAATTCTGTTCTAACAAATTTCAATAATATGAAAGTTGCTATCCGAAGAATAATAACCACCAAACACATGGTAATTTAAAAGTACCCACCTAGCAGTCACATATCAAATACTTTTTCATAGAATTTAAACTTGATTAAATCATCCCCATTCTCAACAATCGCTGTTTATTTCTTAAATTAAGTCGAATCACTATTTTTTCTTGGGGTTAATACTACGAAAATCCCAAACTGATACATTACCCCACATTAATTTTTTTATCACCAAAAATCTTAAACTGGTACATTTGTGACAACATCCTCCGTTTAATTAGATTAATACCACAAAATATTATAAATTGATACATCTATGACAAACGGAGGGTAAAACCCCAAACTGGTATACCTGTGAACTGCCACGTGTCATCCAACTCAGAAATTTGAAGTTAAAATTAAACGGAAACTAACTAAGGGTAAAATTGTCACATGTGTATCAGTTTGGGATTTTTGGTGGTGAAAAAATTAGTTTAAAATAAATTTATCACAGGTGTACCAATTTTGGATTTTTCGTGGTATTAATCATTTTTGCTTGCCATTCATCTATTAGTTTTTGGCCCAGTTTGCATTGACATACATGAGGAATTTTCTTTTTCCTATATAATTTGATAAATTTGACTTATCATTTGCCAATGTCAATTTTTAGCTTTATATGTCAATGTGGAACAGGAAAAAACAAAATGAGGTTTTGAATTAACGTTGTTGGCATATTAAGACAAATAATTTTAAGTACTATACTCAATTTGAGAAGTTGATGATGAAAACAGATCTTTCCATTGTATTTATTAAATTATATTATGAGGGAATTATCCAAAATAAATTGTATCATTTCGCATTTAGAAGGCTTCAAGTAGTGCCGGCATCATTAGAGATTAATTTGTCAGTCCTCATTCTCTTTCCTTAAGTGTCACAAAAACCTGATGTGTCACTAGAGAATATCTTTATGGTTCCAATGAACCTACATATGTCTTATCTTATTGTTAACATTACTTTATGTGTAATAAGACATATCCTTAAGGCTAATAATTGAATGCCTATAGCCTTTACTCAAGGTTTACACAGTACCTTAAGATTTTCACCTTATATGTATATTTAACAGGACAATAATGCATTCAGAAACACCTTATTGAATGCAAATGAGTTGATACACATCCAAAATGTTACAAAGAGTAACAAAACACAGATGTAAACTTTATTAGAGCATAAATAAAAGCAGCTCCCACTAAACAACAGTATCCCATGATACTCCTAAGCCCATGCTAACGACATGTCGTTCAAAAATACAGGGGCGAAGGCCTTTAGTTAGTGGATCTGCTACCATATCATCAGTGGAAATGTGCTCTACTGTAATGTCACCATCCCTGACTTTTTCCTTTATGGTCAAGTACTTGACCTCCATATGCTTAGACCCCTTGAGACCTCTGTTGTTGTTAACAAACAACACTGTAGAGTTATTGTCACAATACAACTGTATAGGCCGATCCACAAAATCAAATACGGTCAACTCCCTAATGAGGTTCCGGAGCCAAATTGCCTGAGTAGCGGCCGAAAAGCATGCTACAAACTCCGCTTGCATGGTAGAGGATGTCATTGATTTATATTTCTCACTTTTCCATGATACTGCACCCCCTGCTAACTTAAAGATGTAACCCATTGTCGACTTCCTTTCATCCTGACAGCCAGCAAAGTCTGAATCCGAATACCCTATCAACTGAAGGTCTTGAACATGTCTGTAGATCAGCATATAGTCTTTTGTCCTCTTTAAGTACCTCAAAACCTTCTTGGCTGCAACCCAGTGATCGTGTCCTGGATTTGACTTATATCTGCCTAGAAGTCCTGTTGCAAAAGCAATGTCTGGCCTAGTGCAAACTTGAGCATACATGATACTTCCAAGTGCACTAGCATAAGGTACATCCTTCATTTGGGTTTTCTCAATATCCGAATGAGAACACTATGACAGACTCAGTTTATCACCCTTTATGACAGGAGCAATTCCTGGCTTGCAGTCCTGCATACTGAATCTTTCCAGAATACGATTACCATATGTTCTTTGAGACAAACCCAATGCCTAGGACAAAAGACGCCTTATCAAGGTCCTTCATGTCAAAATCCTTCGACAACATTCGCTTCGTCTCATGTAGTAATCCAATATCACTACTCGCAAGCAAGATGTCATCTACATAGAGTATGAGAAAAATAAATTTCCTCCCACTGACCTTGCTGTATATATACTGATCCAACTTGTTCTCAACAAAACCTAATGAAGTGACAACACTATGAAACTTCAAATACCATTTTCTAGAAGCTTGCTTAAGGCCATAAATAGATTTCTTCAATCTACACACAAGCTCACCTGAATCATCAGCTGCAAAACCTTTGGGTTGCACCATATAGACTTCCTCATCAAGGTCTCCATTTAAAAAGGCAGTCTTAACATCCATCTGGTGTAAGTCCATATCAAAATGAGCTACCAATGCCATAATCACTCTGAAAGAATCTTTAGAAGAGACTGGAGAAAAAGTTGCCTCGTAGTCTACTCTTTCTTTCTGAGTGAAACCTTTGGCTACCAGTCTGGCTTTGAACTTCTCAATCTTTCCTTTGGAGTCTCTTTTAGTCTTGTATACCCATTTGCAACCGATGGGCTTGTAACCTTTAGGCAATTCAACAAGCTCCCAAATACCATTATGTTTCATAGACTGAATCTCGTCTTTCATTGCATCCACCCACATATCTGATTGAGGACAAGAAATTGCATCTGAATGAGTTACTGGATCAACCACGCAGCCTATATCGTAGTCATGCTCTTCCAGATAGACCATATAATCTGGTGGTATAGCCGATCGTCTCTGCTTGATAGATCTCCTTAGTGGAGCTATTACAACCTCATTCTGCACTTGAAGGGCTTGAAGTACTTCATCAGGAGCTGTTTCAATAACAGGATCCTAGACTACAACAGGCTCAATCTGTGGTGTAGGGGTCTCCATTATCGTCTGTACAGGTAGAGAAATCGACATTGTAGTACCTACCATATTATTATCCTCAATGGTCTGAGAACAACTACCTCCTTCGGCCACATCAAATTCCAGAAACTTCGCTGTTTGAGATTCCACAATTCTTGTGCCTCCATGGGGATTATAAAACCGATACCCCTTCGAATGATCTGGGTAGGATATAAAGTAACATCGAGTGGTTCCGGATTCTAACTTGCTCAATGTTGGATTATATATCCTTACTTCTGTAGGACACCCCCAAACTTTAAGATGATTTAGGCTAGGTTTACGTCCAGTCCATAATTCAAAAGGAGTCTTTGGAACAGCCTTGGTAGGAATACGATTTAGAATGTAGAGAGCTGTCCTCAAAGCTTCACCCCACAGAAAATCAGGTAAGTTCGTCCTGCTAATCATACTCCTCATCATGTCCATAAGGGTGCGATTCCGTCTTTCGGCCACACCGTTTTGTTCAGAACTCCCGGGCATAGTAAATTGAGCCATTATTCCTGAATCTTCCAAGTATTTGGCAAATGGCCCTTTCAGCTGTCCAGCATCGCCATGCCTGCCATAATGCTCACCACCTCGGTCAGACCTGACAACCTTTATGACTTTTCCCAGCTGTTTCTCGACTTCAGTCCGAAAAATCTTGAACTTGTCAAGAGACTCAGACTTCTCCTTAATCAAGAACAGATAATCATATCGGGAATAGTCATCTGTAAATATGATGAAATAGAAATTTCTATACAATGTTGCCGTATAGGGTCCACTGATGTCAGTGTGAATGACTTCCAACAGGTCAGAACTACGGACTGCGGTTTTCTTCTTTATCTTGGTCATCTTACCCCTACAACAGTCTACGCAAGTATCTAGGTCACTTTCAAGAGTAGGCATGATGTTTTTCTTTATCAGCCTTTCCACTCTTTCCTTAGAAATGTGACTAAGTCGTTTATGCCACAATGCATAAGACTGTTCCTTAGGTAGAGGTCTTTTGGAAACAACCCTTTCAGCTGTATAAGCAACGTATATATCATTGGGAGATAAACACAATCTATACAATCTATTCGATATGTCGCAGCACCCAACCTTATTTGAATCAAAGAACATAGAAATCATATTGTTCTTTATTTCAAAAGAGTAGCCACAAACATCCAAACTTGATACGGAAACTAAGTTCCATATGAAGGAAGGCACATAAAAGGTGTTTCTTAACATCATATTAAAACCAGAATCCAAAATTAATATGACATCTCCCACGAACTCGATGTCGACTCTCTTGTTGTTTCCTACAGTGAGCTTTAATTCATCCTGATTTGGCTTCCTTCTGTTTATGAATCCATGTATGGTATACGCAACATGATTAGTTGCACCGCTATCTAGCCACCAATAACTGGATGGAGCTTTTAATAGGTTGGATTCACAAACAAGTGCCAAAGAATTAATACCTGACTGCTCACGCTTGGACAACCAAGCTTTATATCTATTGCAGTCTTTCTTCATGTGATCCTTCGTCTTGCAAAAGTAGCAGTGAACATCATTCTTCTTCAAGGGTGTTTTCTCAGGACCCAGATGGTCTAAATGACCGATGGTTTCAGGAGTTCCTTTCTGAGTACGATTCTTGAACTTACTACTATTCCTGCTACTGGAACTAGAGGCATAGAAAGCATGATTCCCTTTATCTTTCTTCAGTTTCTCTTCCTCTGTCACTACCCTAACTATCAGGTCATTGACCGACCACTTTTCATCTTGGGAATTATAGTTAGTCTTTATAATTCCAAACTCAGTAGGAAGGGTGTTCAGGGCTTGATGCACAATGAAGGCATCATAAAGGATAATCTCATGAACCTTTAGTTTTGTCTGGAGGTCTACCATTCTAAGGACGTAATTCCTAACCCCACTTGAACCATCATACCTCATATTATTGAGTAACCGCATGTATGTCCCCTCAAAGATTAGACGAGTCACGGTTCCTTGCTTGCAAGGTTTCCATCATTTCTTTAGGGGCGTCGGCGCAAACTACTTTTCAAATGGTCCTTAATGGATCGCTTCATCAGTAACAAGCAAATCCTATTGCTCTTTTCCCAGGCGGCACTCAGTGCCTTTTCCATGTCCGTACTTTCAGCAGTGACATCTGCTGGCTTATCCTGAGTAAGAGCAATATGAATATCTGCCAGCTCTATACCAAACTGAAAATCCTCTTTCCATTTCTTAAAGTTTGAACCAGTAAGAACCTCAATACTTATGGAGTTGCCGTTCAGGGAGAAGGTGACTATTAAAAACAAGCAATATCTATAAGCAGCATCATGTGAGTACTTTCCTGAGAGTTACACACATCATCATATAATCACCTTTGGGCAGAATACATGATATACAATTATATACCCTCTACATTACAACGGCCATGAGAATATATTCCAATATTTTATGAATTCATCACCTTTGGGCGTATGAATCATTAGGATCAGTCATTTCTCACGCATGCTGTATATGCATCCTCCATGAACCAATACATAATCACCTCCTTTGGGAGTATAATAACACATTAGAACAGGAGACATCCTAACAATACGAGACTGATATTTCTCAAACTCAATCAAGTGTGCCACTTTGGCGGTCACTACCAAATTGAATCATTGAAACTCTCTCATACTAAGGATATAAACTTTATGTCTCATATATACTATATAGATATAATTCTAAACTGGAAAACATGGGCAATGTCTCTAAAATTACATACCATGCTAATTACATTGCTCTATACATTGATATATGTTGAATCTTATACATACTATCAATGAAACATGATCTACACGTCCTTAAGTCATCATATACATGTAAGATTTAATCTGTATCTCTTAAACCATAGAGAAATACAGGAAAATACGAAAATATACCCTAAAAATACGTGTATATAGGGTTCCATATGTATTTTCACATCCTTAAAAGTATCAAACATGTAAAATAAATATACCACAGTGTAGATAATCCTTATACGAGCACGCCGGTACCTTGCACGCTCCAAACGGAGGCCGGACGCGCCCTCACGCGCCTCCTGAAGGTGCGGCGCGTGGGCCTCACGCGCCGGCGCCTAAGCCGGCCAAAAGGGCTGGTTCGACCGGTCTGACCACCGACCGGTCGACCGCTTATCGGTCGGACCGGTTGATCGGTTCGGTCAACGGGTCAGGTCAACGGGTCGGACCCTGGGTCGGGTCAACGGGTTGGACCCTGGGTCGGGTCAACGGGTCGGGTCTGGGTCGGGGGAGTCGGGTCAGGTCAGCCGGATCGACCCGGCTCGCGGAAACCCTAGCGCGTGTGTTGCACGCGCCTGGGAACACCCGCGCGTGGCCGCGCGTGTGCCGTCGGGGCTCTCTGACGCCCCGGCGCATGGCGGCGCATGCGGCCACTCCCGGCGGCCCCTGGTGGCCGGCGACCACTCATTTTTCTCGTCTCGCGACGATCTATCCATCTATGTGATTTATTCTAACATTCAATGGATGAAAAAATCAAAACCATATACGAACAGTACCGGCCCGTTTCTCGACTATGGCGGCTCTGATACCACATGTTAGCCGGCCCGTATGGCTCGGCCGAGCGCCCTAGGATCACCATAGCGAGATATTAATGGTACGGTAAAAGGATGGATAGAATTTGTGCACCTGTTTTGGATTCCATCGTCTTGGATGCGGAAATGACGATGAACCGGTGTCGTAGGTCTTCTCCCCTGTTACCCCCGAAGTCCCGGCGCTATGAGACCGCCTCAGCCAACTCACGGAAGTCTTAGGTGGATTTGAGAGCGTTTGAGAGAGATTGGAGAGAGTTAGGTGTAGAGGAGGGACCTGCAGCTCTATTTATAGAGTTTCCAGCCAGGTCCTCTCATAACGGGCCGGGCCGAACTCGGCCCATACAAGCCGGGCCCATATCTGACCAATTAAGAAACCTTATATCCGAACTTATTAGACCAGACCCGTAAGCGGGTAATAACAATCTCAATTAATGTAACCCACATTAAGAAAACGTTACATCAAATTCCTCTGTTTTTCCAAGTCTCTCTCTCGGTTCGTCATCGTCGTCGTTGTCGTCAAGCCACTGAAGAAGAAGATGCAGATCTTCGTGAAGACCCTGACCAGGAAGACAATCACGCTGGAGGTGGAGAGCTTCGACACCATCGACAACGTCAAGGCCAAGATCCAGGACAAGGAGGGGATCCCGCCCAACCAGCAGCGGCTCATCTTCGCCGGGAAGCAGCTGGAGGACGGCCGCACCCTCGCCGACTACAATATCCAGAAGGAGTCCACCCTGCACCTTGTTCTCTGCCTCCGTGGTGGCAATTTCTGAAGAGACGGGCATGTTCTATTTATGATAAAAGTTAGGGACTTCTCATGCGATTTCATCTTGGTTTCATGGAGCTTGAAAGTAGCCATCTTTAGGCAGGATAAGCCTGTAGGTCATTGCTGGTTCTGGTGTAGTTTTTCTTTTACGTGAATAAATGAATGAGTGAACTTTTGAATAAGTACAACTTGATTTATTTTTTCTCTTGTGCGTTCTATATCACGAGAATAATATTTCATAAAACATGTTCTATACCTTCACATGATGTAAAAATTTGCTTTTTTCTGGCTTCAATCCTGCTCCTAAACAATTCCAGTAAGCGCCAGAGTTTTCTAACGCTCCTAAACAATTCTTGTCTTGTGCTGCTGGAACGCTTTAAGATCTCTCGGGGTTTCCTGTTGTGAGATAGTGCAATTTTACGGGTTAGTTGTTTTCTTGATAATGTCTTTGTCCGTGAGTAAATGATTATGAAGTATCTGTCTGTTCATCTCATGGATTGGTCGGATAGAATGTAAGATGGCGGGGTGGGATAGAAGAGGAGGAAAATGATACAGTGAGAATTCGTGCTTGTCTCCTGTCTCCTGCTGTGGAATTATTAGACAACTTGATTAAGCTGTGTGCTCCCTTTAGTCTGGAATTGATAACCAATGGCTAAGATTTCTCAAGTTGCCGGGATATCAAAATTGACGGACAGAATAAGTCGGGGTTTAAGTCAGCTTTTGCCTTTTGCATGCAGCGAGTGCATCTTGTTGCTAGATTCTAACAATGAAACCACTGCTTTAAGGCTTCATTGTGATTTCGCCATATATATGTTGACTGTGGGGGTGAGCAAAGAACCAGAACTGTGATTTTTTGCTTGTACAAGTGGTTTTGTGGTAAGTAAGTTGTCTGCCTGGATTTGTTGGATTCATAGTTAAGTTGCTGAGTAATGTGGCATGACCAATGACATCCTAAACTTACAAATTCTGAACATTCTGCAATTTGACAGCAGGGCTCCTGCGATGCATTGGTGTTTTATTGATTGAGGACTCTGAAAGTTTAAAATGCCAATGAAGATGATACCGTGAAACCCAGAGGTCTGTGAATCGGGATCCAAACCAAATGCATCATATAGATACAAATAAGAGGATCGAAACATTTCTCTCTTTTTCAAATTCTATAGATGTGGGTTGATCGTATATTTTATTATGGTTGTATGATTGAGAGTATCATTTCCTATCCTTTTATATTCCATATTCGAAGTTGCGATCTGATCTATTCATTGAAAAAAATCGATTCCATACATTTCTTATGTACCCATAGGTGATACTGGAGTTGAGTCAGATTTCAGATCCATCTATATTAGTTGACATCCATATTTTGGTTGCTGCACTTTGTTCTCCTCTGCCTCCGCAGCGGCAATTTCCGAAGACACAAAGTTACCAGGTTTCATGCTGTTTCATCTGGTTTCGTGTTGCCTGAAAGCAGTAAGCTCCATCATAGCAGTAAAAAACCTTTTGCACAAAGTTTGTGAAGCTTTGTTGGTTTTCTGTACGGAGAAACGGACCTTATTGCCTTATGGCTTTGTCTTTTACGTGCTTCCCTGCATTTGCATGAAGTCACCTCACTTTCCTAACATTATGACTTATGAGGATTAAAATCTGCTGCTTGACTACTGCTGCGAGTTGCTCTATTAAACCAGAAAAATTCCTTTAAATTCTCCCAAACAATTTGTTTTACTGCTTGAGAGATCTCAGAAGTCTCCTGTAATTAAGAGATAATGCAATTTAGTGGAAATTAAATATGTTGTTGCCATTTGATGTTTATTATTAACATTGAAAAACAGAATGGATGCGTATCCAGCTCCATGCAGGCAGCCAATATCTTGTTTCAAGACAAAAAATAGTAGAAAATAGAAAGGCAGCTCCAGTTATGCAGCTTATTGAGAGTGTCCAGGTAAGCGGCCATTCTGGTGTTGACGTGGTTTTGCTCGTAAACAGCTCGACCTGGATTGATCATCTGTTGCATTTCCAGAAACGTGTCTGTGATCTTTATTCGTTGCTGATATCTGGTTCTAGCATATCGAGTGTTGGCATTTTGGATTTGCACTTAAAACCTGTTGCTTTAGATGTTTCAAGATGCTGATTCCGAATCGCAATTTTCAGTAATGGTACTGAGAATGCTCAAAATAGCTGATTAGTGAAGCATTTGCTTGTAGTTAACTCTGGTATGACCGGCATATCTTAAACAGTCAAGACTGATTTTTGCGGAAGTAAGGTTCCTGACATGTGTCAGCTGTCTCTTAAGCAAAGAAGAAAGTATAAAGTGACGGAACTCCATAGTTTGAGTTTGCGAGCTCGTACTTGAGATTTGGGAGTGAGTTAATTCTGGTGTAGAACATGACTTCAAGTTAACATGTCTGCTGGACAGATACAGACTTACAGAGTATTTTCATCTCTGGAATTGGTTCATAAATAACCAGGTTAATTTGTTCCTATTCATGCATTGTTCCCTTAAAGTCTATGTAGGGTTTTCTGATGGAGATTTCCTCTTTTACTGTAGATTGGCCATAAAACAAGTTGAAGAATTTGTGATGTCTCTTCTTGTTTGTGTTCTCACAGGGTTGCCACTTCTCTATGGCCTTGCTGTTATCATTGCAATCTGTTCAGACAAGTTAAAGGGACTTCTTTTTTATTTTTTTATTAAAAAAATAAAAATCCTTCATGGGCTCCAATAAGCCAAATCTGGTGCCAACGGCCATTGCCTGAGGTCAAACAACCTTAGGCGGCCTAGTTGAGGGTTGCTTGGGGTCATACGACCTAGGGGTGAGCAGTTCCCGGTCCTATCCAGTTCAACCCAAGAACCGGTAATCGGACCAGGAGGACCAGTTCCCAGTTTTTAGGACCGGGGATCGGACCGACTAGTCTTGGGACTGTGGACCAGTTCCAATGGTCCGGTCCGGTTGCATAGGAAGATGATGGAAGCGTGTAAGCCAGCTTTAAAGCTGGCCAATATACATTGCTTCCATTATCATCCTATGCAACAATGGCCATAAGAGAGCTGCTGAAACAAAGGACTTTGTCAATGGTTCAGTCCGCATCCATCATCTTCCTATGCAACATTAGTTTTTAACCGGTTCCAATGGTTCGGTCCGATTAGTCCGGTTCGATCCAGTTCCCACCCTAGAACCAGGAACCGGACCGCCCGGAAACCGGTTCCACTTTTAAGAACCGAGAACCGGACCGATTTTCCCGAGAACCGGACCAAACCGGTTGGTCTGGTTTGGGCGGTCCATCTTGCTCACCCCTAATACGACCCCCCCGACGGTCGTCGCCTGAGGTCATGCAACCCCGGCGAGGGTTGCTTAGGTCGTGCGACCCTTGTGATCCTTCAACCCCAGGCAACCCCTCACCAAGGTCGTCGGTGATCGTTGGCTAGCCTCCGCAACTCTCGACGGAGCCTCACCATGTGGAGAAGATGAATGGTTACTTACAAGGGCAAAATTGGAAAAAGAAAAAATTGGTGACGGTAGTTTTGGAATAATTTTCAAACTCCCGAACTTCTTTGTAGTGGCTTCGTTCCATGCCTCATTTCGTGGAGAACCTCAAAGTGGCTCTATGACCTACCGAAAATAGTGAAAAACCCAAAGCAAACGGGGACTTACCTTGGACTTTCAGTTTTGCCGACACTAGCATTTGTCCAGAGAGGTCCAAAACAATTTGGCCAAAGCTCAACCCAGCTTAGGATGTCGATCAATTTTTCTCAAGGTAACTAACTAACTAAAAATTAAAATTATTGAAAATGATATAAAATAAATAATTTAGTTCTACAATTATGCAAAGCGCAAGATTTAAACTAGTTTTTTTTTGTGGGGTCAAAACATGATTTTAAACTAGTTTAGGAAGTGGTTAGCCGAGGGGGGTAAAAATTGCAATTTCATTTTCTAAGGGGGCCTAAATATAATAATTAAAAAAAGGGCGTTTGGTTTTGCACAGTGTACAGGCTGGTCTCAGCTTTCCTCTTCCCGAAACCGCTCTCGCCCTCCGCAGTCTTCTCTCCGTGCTCGCTCTCTCCACCGTCGTCTTCTTCCCGACGTCGTCAAATCTCTCTCTCTTTCTCTGCAACTTCTCGCTTCTGCTCTTCACTGAAGAACTTATTTATAGTTCGTGACCCAATATAGAGTAAGATAAATCATGAATGAGCTCAAAAAATAAAATCAATATCTAATTGGCGTCTACAAAATGTAACCCCATGCAAAAGAATGTAGGAAACCAATTCGATCTTATATCAGCGGGGATAAAAAATTTGAAATAAACTTATCTGTTAATAAAACATAATACATATTACATGACCGATAGGAATGAGTTCGACAGTGGCAATATACAACAAGTATACGAAAGAAATCAGTTGAAGTGGTATGAAGCACAAATTTTGTAATAATCTGTTTACACCAAAATCGACATGGATGTCAAGTCGGTTTAATGTCAAAATCCGACGGACAATGGAGCTCAGTCGTCTGCCGAAGTACGTTTAGATAAAATTCGGGAATGTAGTAAGCGTGAATGGCACCATGTCCCGAATTCTGTGATTGGAGAGAATCGGTAATTTTATCGAAACATGAAAAGTTTACATTTCGGGAAATGTTGAAGCTACCAAAAATCGGCAAGATCACAACCCAGCCACGTGAATCGTGACAACAGGAAGTTATGAGCAAAAAGCGGAGATAGTGAGCACGAGCAGATCGTGGGAGATTATTTATCCAAATTGGAAGTCATCCCGGTGGTTGAAATCAAGTTTTGGTGGACAATGAAATTGGAAAACGTGGGTAGATAAGGCAGTTATTGAAAGCGCCAAGATTCAAAGTTCGAAAACAAAGAAGTAACCGACAAGCAGTTACAGGATAGGAGGAGATATAAATACTCAGAAGAAAGAAGAAAAGAGGGATCAACAACAATGCAAAAACACTCAAGCTTATATGTACTTTAGTTTCCTCTGCACTTTTACTTCCTACGTTTACAGCTTCCTGCCTTCAAGTCCTTTACAGCTTTCATAGGAGTATTGTAACATAGTTAGAAACTTTGTTGATCTCAGATCCATTTTCAATCCACTCAATTTCTACCCGCTTCCATATAACCCTGCACTACACTCTATTTTTCGCCACGATATTCCTAGAAATCAAGCCACAGAACCTACTTTAATAAA